TTGCATCTTAAACAACTTAGAACAGGCTCGAAAGATCCATCAGTGACAGATTTTATGAAGACTCAAACATAATTAAACAGAGAAATCAAATAAAATAAAATAAGAAAACTCACATTTAAATTTGAATGAAACTAAAGAAAATAAGTTCAAAAAATAGAGATAGTGAAATATTGAAACCTCAAACCTATAGGTGAAGAGTGTAGGGAAAGGGATTCTTTAATTAAAACTTTGAGGTCTTCAAAAGGGTTGAGAGATCGGTAGTAAAAGCATTAGCTTTAACCCATGTCAGCCATCATTTTATCAATGTTATCCGCCATTATTGGAACATAAATCAGCGAGGGATTCTTCCTCATAATTTTTAATCCCCTCCATTTTCAAACCAGAAACAACCTATTAAATTGAAAAACAAAACACACAATTAAACAAGTTTTCATTGGTTGTTAAAGTTTCTTTTAAACTGGTGGGGAAGCATATTTTTCGTTCGAGAATAACGTGGTTTTGGCATTGGATTCTGACGACCGCTACATAGATTTTCGGCGACCGACAGAGAAGATGATGGATACTGACGTGGTTTTGGCATTGGATTCTGACGACCGCTACATAGATTTTCGGCGACCGACAGAGAAGATGATGGATACTGATGGGATGAAAGAGTGTTATGTTGATGTGTTTAGGACTTCTTCTATTTTTAGTTATTTGTTATTTGAGTGTTGCTTAAATTTATGAGAAAGTTATTAATGGGTTTGTAGACACCCGTTTTTGTCCGGGTCTTTTTTATTTAATTTTAATTTTATTATTATTATTATTATGTTTATGTTTATTAATTACATATTACAAATTTTTGCAGGCTCAAACCCAAAGCCCATCAGATACAAGGCTCAATGCCCAGTTAACAAGCCCACCAATAGAGACCCTACCCAGACCATTCAGTACCCTGATACTCTTAACACGAACCGGCCTAGCGACCCGACCCGAGACAAATAGGGTTTTAAAACCCTAATCATAGCTAGCTGGTGCCGCCACCAGTCCTTGCTGCTGTCGCTTATTCCCGCCGCCGTCCTCGTCTGCACCAACAGTGACCCTATGACTCTTATCATTTTCAACAAGCATCCATCAAACAGAGAGAAATCACACCAAGTTAGAAAACAGAAAAAAATAATCAAAACCCATTAAAATATCATCCTAAACCTGATTTTTAGGGATTCAAGCATACCAAAATCAGAAAATCATATCCCTACCCCATAGACTATATCATTATCACCGAAGAACCCTTAAATCCACAGCAACCATTATAAAAGGGGATTCGGTATTCAACAGAGGGGGAAACCATTCGGGAAAACGAATAGTATATTTTAGGGATAGGGTTTTCAAAGGAAATGAAGAAAAAGTGAGATTGAGGGTCTTTCAGGGTTAGTTTGCTCCCCATGGCCACCGATACGGTGGCCGGGGAGCCTCGGTTTTTCAGGTCTCGGTGAGAGAGAAGGGAAACAAAGAGAAAAATGAAAGCACGACTGAACTGGGGGCTTGAAACAAATGATATTAGGGTTTCTAATAAACCTAAAATGGAATTATATCCCAGCTCCAATGTGACGCCGTTTAAAGGGGTCAGGGTATGCGTGTTTCAGCATAAGAGGGTAAATAGCCCATTTAGTCCTCGCATCTTTGCAACATTCTTCCTGTTTTTTTTAATTTTGGGGAAAATCATACTTTAAGTCCTCTGTATCTTGTACCCTTCTATTTCAGTCATCAATGCAACTTATTTTCGTTATTTTGATCTCTTGTTTTGTATATGTGTAGTTTAGTCCTTGTTTACCTCTTAAATATTTTAACGGTTTTTTCAGCTTCTGCCATCGTATTTCAGTTTATTTACTATAATAATACATGTTCATATTAGTTCATTTTAGTCTTGTTTGCTTGATTTTTTCTTTCTGATGTTTATACATTGGTCTCTTGATTTTAATGTTTACTGTTTTAGTCTCAAATATTATTTATGGTTTTATTGTGTTCTTGAGGTTTGTATTATTCATATTTACATGTCTTTCATGATGATGTTTTGTTTGTAATTCATGACCCTAAAATTATGTTCTTTTAATTTAGTCACATGTTCATGGTTTATATAGGTTTTTGTTACTTATTTTTTGACCTCAATATTTGTACTTGTTGCATTCAAACCTATATTATTTAATGTATTCGATTGTGTTTCTGGTTTATTTATATTTATTATCCAGTCCCTTAAATTTCTATTTATATTATTTTAGTCCTTTAAATTCTTGTTTGTACTATTTTGGTGCTTTAAGTTTATGTTTTTATTATTTGATCCTTGTAATTTCAAGTACTTACTTTTTGGTCATTATTTTTGGTTTGTAATATTAATTCACATTTATGTCAATCCCTTATGTATGTACATTTTTCTATGTTATGTATTCGTAACATATATAAAAATATGCTTAACTCTGTTTGTTGTAAATATTTTATTTCGCATATTTCTATTTGTATTTATTTCCATTGCAATTTTTTATTTAAATATTATTTGAATATTCAAGAACTCGTATTTGTAGAACGGTGTGGAAAGTATCACTTGATCGAAGTGGTACAATCTAATACGACGTTCGAACTAAATGGAACTTGAAATAAATTAATGTTAGTTTGTTAGTTGTTAATTCATTTTTATTTTATATTGAACAATGAAAAGTTATGTATTTTATTTTTTTGCAATTATCAATTTGCAATTTATATTCAATATGCATCTTACATATTCAATGATTGAATATTCTTTAATAAATGAAAAATGGTTGAAATAGCTTTCCTTACGGAGGATTGCAAATTTCAAGGTTTTATTCAAGTCAAAGGATTTTCTTTAAATTGCTAATTCGAAGTAAATTAATCAATGTTCGATAAATGGATCACATTTTAACTTTATATTAAATTTATATTTTCCACTATTTACGACGATGCGTAAGCGACACAGTACCAATTTTGGGCGCTGTTGGGGGTGCTTATCCTTCCCCACACGTAATCAACTCCCGAACCCGTTTTAATAGAATCTTTGTAAACGTAGACCGGTTTTTTTGTCTAAAAAATGATTTTTATTAAAATTGTTTTTAAAAGATGTTTTTAGGTATTCGATCTACCTAACTCAAAGGTCGATGGTGACTCTATTCAATTTAATTTCAAATTAATTTCAAATCACCAATTTTTTCAAAATAAAGTCATAATCGTTTTTTAAATAATATTTAATTGTTTTTAAAAAAATGGTTATGACAGGGTTGTTGTTTAAATTTATAAGCATGTTGTTAGTGGGTTGTTGATTTTACTTTATTTAAATTCTGAATGTTGCTGAATAAAAAATATAATGTTAAGTTTTTGCTTCATCACTTCAGTTTTCTTTTCATTAAAATACCAACAATTAACAACAAAGCTCTTTTCTTAAGGGACATGTGTTAGTTATCTCATGAAATGTTAAAAGTAATTTTTCTTTGATTGCGCTGCCTACGTTTGATGGAGATAATCATTCAGTTTGGGTCATACAGATAGAGACTTAACTGGAGGCTGTAGATCTTTGGGAAGCAGTTGAAAAAGACTGAGATTCCTACATTGCCTACCAACCCCACCATAGCACAGATCAAAGCAAAAAAAGAAAAGAAGACGAGAAAATCAAAGGCAAAAGCATGTTTATTTGTTGTAGTATCACAAACTATTTTCACCAGAATTATTTTTGTAAAGTTAGCAAAGGAGATATGAGATTATCTCAAGGCTGAGTATAAGGGAAATGAAAAATTCGTGGGATACAATTGTTGAATCTTGTACGTGAATTTAAGCTGCAAAAGATAAAATAGACTGAGATAGTCAATGAATATTCTGACAAAATAGTTAAATGATTTATTTCATTTTCCCCTAGCAATACTTCTACCCTCTAATTTTATTTTCCTTCACTTATTGATGTTTATTTTCCTTCACTTATTTGATGTTCCAATAATGCCACATAAATTTAAGGTCTCATATACTTCAATCTTGTCCTTGTTTTGATCCCCTTAGCAACACTTCTACCCTCTAATTTCATTTTCCCTTTATTAAGGTGGTGACATGTGTCACCATCTAATTAAAGATTAATTTTAATTGAACTAAAAATAAGACTGAATTAATAAAATATTTAAATATTGAGTATCAAATGTGTAATTATATCAATTTTATTAAATGTTACATAAGGACCTTCGTTAAATTTTAATGACATGGTTGATTGAAGCATTTAAATAGTTAAGTGGTATGTTTGACAAATTTGAAACATTGATGGTTGTAATGAACATGTACAATATTAAGTGGTCATACAAGTAGTTTGCCCAATAATATATTAAATATATTAGAGTAAAGTACACAAATGGTCTCCTGACTATAAGGTGTTGCTTTATTAAGCACCTCGACTGTAAAGTTACAAAATGATCATTCAACTGTAGGATGTAGCTTTGTTGAGTCCTTTGACTACTAAAAGTTACAAATGGTAACTCAACTATTCATTATATTATAAATTCATCCTTTCTTGTTAAAAATTGATGATCGTCTCAGCTGGATGTTAATATATTATCTGAGATATAATAAAATTTGATCCCAAAATCTCAAACCAATGTCATATATCTCAGACAATAGATTAAAATCCAGCTGAAACTGTCGTCATTTTTTTAATGAAAAAGGACGAGTTTGGAATATAATGAATAGTCAGATGACCATTTACAACTTTTAATGGTTGAGGGACTCAACAAAGCAACATCTTATAATAATGGAACCATTTTTTTAACTTTTGATAGTTGAGGGACTTAATAAAACAATGTACTATAGTAGGGGGACTATTTATGTACTTTACCCAATATATTATGAAAACTTAAATGAAAACTTAAATGAAGAATCTTTAAAAAATTTCTCCCCTCTGCTTGATATGTCGCTCCTCAAATACTTTTTTGTTAACGCAACACCTATTTTACCCACTTATAAAGTATTTATATACACACTTCTCCTCGCTCGTTCCTGTTGCCCATCCATCCTGTCCCGATCTATTACCTACTATGAATGCATGAGATGAGAGAAATAATTGACGGCTGTGCAGGATTTTCCAAAATTTTTTGCAATATACGACGACACTCACGAGATTTTTTTTTTTAAAAAATTGAGAACCCATCGATAATAAAATGACGATTTAATCTTCATTGTTGACAGAACAGAACTTTATTTATCACTATAACATCAACCTCGTATCCCTAAGTACAGTGGTAGAATTAGAAAATTTATTAAGGTGGAATTAAAATATTTTTTATTTTCCATAAATACAAAATTTTAATTAATGAGGGTTTGATAATATTTTTTATTTTTAAAAAATATTTTAATATTAATTAATATTTTAAAAATAATTGACAGAGTCAAGACTCCTTTTAATCCCACGAAGGTTCGCCCATGCCTAAATAAATCCAAGGACATTATGTTCTTAATTTTACCCTACAATAGCATAGGATAGCGGGGGGAATTTTAAATTGGTCATGGTTGGACAATAATTTCCATAAAAAATGAAGCAAAATTTCACGAGGAAAAGGCAAAGGTGCGGAACGACGAGGATGTTGCTTTCGTACATCCACCCATCGTACTTTAATCAACAAAGCTTGCAGCTATTGCCACATCAAATCCTACTAGCAGTAGTCGTACTATTTTAGTGCCCCCCAAACCCATTATACTTTTTAGGACAAAATTACATCAATATAAAACAAAATGAAAGCAACTCTAAAAGTAGCAACAGAAAGTGGGCCATCCTCGATAGAATATTTAAACATTTTGTATGGGGAGTGACATTCCTTGTGCCAACAAGACAAACCCCATTACAACCCCAAGAATAGGTTCCCAAATGACTAAACCCCGAAAGCCAAATAAAAGCAAACACCAAACAAGAAAAGCAAAACATGAGTCAGCTACCTTACCGAAAAGCAACTGGACAATAAAAACAAAGCAGTACCCCATAATGCAGCACATATCCCATAAGCCAAACCCCACGACCCTTTGTCCATTTGTTTCTCTTCACAAAACGTCATCCAGTTTATCATTTCCGTTACCCAACAGCTCTCGACTCTCGTCTTCATCATTTTGTCCATCCATGCATCGGCTCATTTCGATGCTGGTTAACTTCTTTGCTTTCAATGCCTCAGCTTCCCAATCTGTAGTGCGGAGCACGGCGTACAGTATCGACACGACACAAGCAACCTGGGCAAACAATAGTCCGAACCAAAGCCCGGGGAACCCCACGTTTAGCAAAAAGGCTAGGCCCACGGCCACTGGAGTGCCCACGAAGTAAAATGAGCCGAGGTTTATTCGGGCACCAACCGCGGGCCTTGCTGTGCCGCGTAGGATACCGCAACCAGTCGTTTGAGGGCAGTTACCTAGCTCACACAACCCTATGATCGGCAGGACTGTTGCGACCAATGGTTTGACCAGATCATCATTGGTGAACAAACTGGCCCATTTTTCTCTAAGGATCACCGTCCAAGCCACGTTGATCATGCCAATCACAAATGCACATCCTAGTGACACCATGGCCGCTAGCTTGGCTTTGTATGGCTTTCCGGCTCCAAGTTCGTTCCCTACCTGCAATAATTTTTTTGCCAAAATGATACGTAAGGGATAAAACATAATAAAATAAAGGAGGCCATTTAGTTCATTTTTGTTAGTTATATCGTTTCGTCACACAACAATTGAATGCGGGTTTGATGACAAAGAACTTGCTTGCCTTTTACCAATTCTGTCCAATCACATTACATGTATGAGTATGATCTATACACAAGAAGTCCTTTAAAAGGTGATGCAATCTCCAACAGATCTAATTGGGATTCAATTATTATTTTTCTCCGTTTTGTTTCTCTAACCATTTATAATTTTCCAATCTTCCCGTAAATAAAATAAGAGAACAGTGAGTTACTTAAATTGATTCGGTCAAAATTTTATCAACTCCCAAATCGAATAAGCTCGACTTGAAATTGTAATGAGCCAAAACAATATATTTTATACCTGAATTGAAAAAACAATACATTAATTTTTTAGATTTTTAAATTTAATTATTATTAATAACATTTATATGTTGTTTTTTTTAAAAAAAATTCAACTTTCAAATACATAAGGTTTAGATTCAAGTTAAAGTTTGAGTTTCAATTGAGATAAGTTTAAGAATATTTTGAGATCAAGTTTTTTCAAGCCGAGTCGAACTTGAAAATTTTAAATTCACGAGCTTTCGAGTCGAAAAAAGTTCAATTTTACACTTTTTCAAATTAGATCGAGCTCAACGCTGCTCAAACTCATCTAGGCTCTTTTACATAGCTACCGTAACCTAAGAACATCTCTTTCCGTTGAATTTACCAAATGAAATAATGGTATTTTTCTAACCATTCCATTAGTGGTGTCATATTCTGTTTTTAAAAGAAAAAGGATATGAGCAATGCAAGAGTGATGGTATAGCGTCTAAAATAATAGTAATATGCAATAGAGTAATGGTATAGTGGGTGTGGAACTTACACGGGCAGAGACGCATCCAGCAAGAGCCATGGGAACAGTGTACATCATGCTGGTGGTTTGAATCAGGATCCCAGTGGCAGCCACAGCGAGTGTTGGATTCGACAGGTAACCAGCCATCAAAGTCACTATCTCATACCACCACCATTCCAAGCAAATCCCAAGACAACTGGGCACTGCCAATCTCAAGAGTGGGACCACCCCACCACACACCCCTCCAATACCCGCCGTCCATCTCATCTCGCACCGCCCACTAACCCACACGTACACCACCATCAGCACCACCATGTTCATGTTCGTAACCACGGACGCCATTGCCACGCCCGGTACACCCAGCCCCATGACCATAACCAACAGATAGTTGAGGGGCAGGTGGAAAACCACAGCCACAAAGGAGCACCACATCATAGGCTTGGTCACCCCCTGTGACCTTAAAAACACTCTCAACGGCTGTAACAGAGTGTTTGTCAAAAGATCCGGCAGAGAATACATACAGTAAGTTGCTGCCATTGCTGTGATATCTTTGTCTTGTCCCATGAACACCATAATGCTGCTGAGATTCACCCATAACATGCTGATTGGTATGGTTGCCAGAAACAGTATGATGATCATGCGTTGGAGGGAGATAGATAATAACTCCCAGTTCTTGCTTCCATAGGCTTGGCTACACACTGGCTCGAGCCCTGAGGCAAGACCAACAAGCACCGAGTAGCCAGTGATGTTGGTGAAACCTATGGACAGAGCTCCTCCGGCTAGTTCTAGGCTTCCAAGTCTACCTAAGAACAGAACCGATACCACTGCTCTAACAAAGACTAACCAGTTCATGGCTGTTATAGGTAAAGCCATGCCCCACAGCTCTTTAAGCTCTTCAAGAACCTGCAATATAAAAGTTCATCAAATGTCAATATGATCACGGGACAAGATAAATGGATGATAAATATATAAACCTTTTGAAGGGCTGACCTCGGAAGCAGAGGGGACTGTGTGTGAAAAGAAATCCGTCTCCTTTGCCATGTGAGTCGCCAAAGAAACGATTTTTCAACAAAAAGATCTCTATAAAGACAATCAAAGAGCAAAAAGGGAGACTCACGCACCAACGGGTTGGTCTAACTAATCAAGGCGAAACCTTGAAATCCGGAGGACAACAATAAAATAAAACAACAAAAATCATAGCTATACCAAGTGGGGAGACTAGAATAGTGATGACAGGATCCCTAGTCTCTATATTTCAATAACCCTTTTACCCCATAACTTTATGAACAAGATCTTAACAAAGGGAAAAGAAATCAAACAAAAAGGGTGAGAAAACAAACCCCAACTTGGCTTGTTCTTTGCTCTAGAACTCTCAAAAGTGAAGGGAGAGAAATGGAGAACCAAATGACAGGAGGCATTAAATAAAAGAAAGAGGAAGACGAAGGGCAGCTAGAAAAGTCGTGCAACGTATTAAGAATAAAAAAGAAAAGAAAGGGAACAATTTTGGAGTATAATACGTATGTGAATATTACTGGGGTAAGTTCTATAGCTGCAGAGAAAGGAAGAGAAATTTGGTAAAAGGTTGAATCAGAGCGAGAAAAGAAGAAAGCAAAGTGATGAAACAGAGAAGGGTTTTTTTTTTTCAGTCCTCTCTTCTTAAAGCCTTTTTCATTCTTAATTGCTGCGCCGCTGCCAAAACCAAAAGGGCTTTTAGCAATTAACACTAAGAAAAGGAGCGCGTGTGTGTTTGGAAAGCTCCTCTAGTTGGAGTTCCTGTACGTTTTTTTTACTAATTAAACCTAACATTCTATCGAATCAAGTTAACTTTTTCCTTTTTTAATTTATATTTGGTTAAATAATATTTTATATTATTTGAATATTCTCATTTTTAATTATTTGGGAATATATTATGCTTTAAAGTTTATTTATGACAATATCACTCATTTTTGTTATGTAAGGTAACATTATATCATATCAATTGCATGATCCAACTTATTTCAATGATTAAAGGAATCATTGTTGTTTTTAGAGGTCATGAGTTCGAACACCAAGGCTTGTAACAGGTGATTGAGCATTCATTGTCAAATAATTGAGAATATTTAGAACAAATACTATTTTATAATCATCTGAGTTTAAATAAAAAAAAAATTATATCATCAATTGTATTTTCTGAAAAATTATGTTTAGTAAAAATAAGTTTTGTCGTGTGTGACAATCAAATTAATAAGCATCTTCATTTATGAAAAAAATACGACTTATTAAGCTTATCTTTTATATTCGAAATTCAAATACATATATTTTAAGTGTGAAAGAAAAATAATATTTTCCGTCCAATTCCATCCCTCTACCTTCGAATCCTTACAAATCTCATATCCCCAACGACAATGACATAAAAAAAAATTCTTTCACTGAGTAAATAAAAAATTCAGTGCGAATATAGTTCCCAAATTATTTTTAATGATATTAATTTTTTTATAAGTTATTATACTTGTTCATAAGAATAAATGAATTTGGTCGGCCGTAAGCGATTCACTTCTAAAATGAGTAGAGAGTCATAGTATGTAAAGGAATGATCACTGGTTGGTATTTGAAGGAGGAAGGAAAAAAATTATCATGAGGAAGAAAAAGAGGGTGATCTATCTCGTCTTCCAGTCTCATTTGAGGATATTTATAATGATCTTTAGTATATGTGTTAGTCGTAAGATCGTTATGTGCAATACCCCAAATTTTTGTTAGTGACTAAAATATAAATTTTCAAAGTTTAGTGGTCAAAGTATAAACTTTGTAAAAGTATAGGGACAAAAATATAGTTTTAAAAAGTTATATATTTTGGCCCATAAATAAATAGTTTGTCCCGAAATTAGTGTTTTCATGAGAATTAGAATTTTGATTTAGTATTTGTAACTATAAAGCAATAAAGTCTGGTAAGGAATCGGATGACTAGATCAAACCGAAATTTCATGAAAAATTGAAGAATGGTAGGTAAAGGTTGGAAATATTATTTTCATATTTTAGAATAGTGAAATTTAGCATGGATCCGTGGAATTGAAGTTAATTTTCCCTATTTAGTCGAAATTGGGAAAATGTAGTGACTAAATTTTAATTTTTAAAAATTGCACCGTAAAGTAGAAAATCAACTTAAATTTGGTTAATCTTTTACTATGGAATATTAAAATGGAAGATATTCCAATGGCAAATTGTAATTATCAAGGTTCATTAATGGTAAAAGTGAAATTTCTCATTAATTGAATTTTATATTCAATTAAATTGGTTTTAAGCCAAGTGTATGATGAAATAATACTAGAATAATCAGGAGAAAGAAAATTTTCTGCTCATCTTCTTCACTTTTCTGGAACTCCATAGCCACCCAAGCGAGGATTTTATTTTGATTTTTAAAGCTACATGGTTATTTTTGGATTAAGCTATTAGATAGAGAATTAATCCTCTTGAAATTCTCTATCATTAGGTATAAAAAATTGCACGAAAATTATGCTTAGATGTTGAGTTTAATGAATTGGGTGGTTGAATAGCATGTTTGGTTTTGAAGAGTTGATGGATAATTTTTATGTTATTGATATTGTTGAATAATTCTAACGCATGAGTGATGACTAAAATCAAGTGTAGAAGCTTATACCATGTTCGACCATGGTTAGGGTTTATACATGTTGATTGAATTTTGATTGAATCTGATGTTGTGATGATTTGAATATCATGGATTTGATGTAAGGAGGTTGAATTCATGCTTGAAATTGAATGAAAAGTTTATCCCTGAATAATTCTATAGGTTCGACCATAGGGGTAATTTATGGGAAAAATGTTGAAAAATTTCCTATGGTCTAGAATTGATATTAGATGTGTTCTACTTGCTTTGGAGACTGAATTGGATCAATTTGAAACCTTGAGATAGTAGAAGGTCTATTTTGCAAGTTTCTGGAATTATGAGACATTGATGATAAATTATGCAACTATGGTTATTCAATATTAATATTTAATTATTGAATGCCAAATTTTAAGTTGGAATGTTGATTCGGGACCAAAGTGCAAATTTGGTGAAATTACATAGTGAAATTTGATTGGTTATGTAATTCAAGGACTTAATTGTAAGTTTACAAATGTGATGGTACTATTTGAGTATGTTACTACAATGCTAGAAATTTTAGGATTTAATTTGAAATAAGTAAAACGACGAAGGACCATTGTGAATTAAATGGAAAAGTTGATGTGAATCCTAAAGAAAATTCATAAATGGTGACTTAAATGCAAAGTTTATGAAATTTAAAGGATTGATGATGATGATGAAAAAGAATATTTATGGAATTGAATAGCTATTTGGAAAGGTTGAAGTTATAATGGATTTATGATTTGGATGTTATATCGATTTAGTATCGATTATATTTTTATAGTATTTATATTATTGGAATTAGATTATGTTAGTATAATACTAACATATATGTTGGATGTTGTTTTATTATATGATGTTGTTTAGACTACGATAAACCTAACGATCCAAGTGATACAAAAGGAAAAGAAAAAGCATAAGATTAAAAGCATATTGTATATCATTTTCGATAGTGAGGCAAAGGTGAGTGCAATTTATTTATTTATTCTGATCAAGGAAGACTTGTGATCGCGTGTAAATGTGTGTGTTACGACACGTAAATCTATGCAAGTATACACAATCTATGCAATTAATGTAGTAGTAAGTGAGTTATCATCTCCATAGGGATTGGGGAAAAATTTTAAAGATCGCTATAGCTAGAACTAGGTGTCACTAACTAGTCCTACGTTTTTTGTCTAATGGTATTCACAAAGAAAAAAAATAAGCAGTGGCAAATGGTATGAACATATGGAAAATGTATGCCAAGGCAAGAAAATTATGAAGTGAGCAGTGAAGTTTTGTCGTGGCAAGAAAAATATGCAAGAGTAAACGATAAAAGTTGCTAAGGCTAAAATATTTCAGTTTCAAATATATACTAAAAACCTCACACAATCAAACTTCTAACGGAACACTTGGGTTGGATTTGCTACGATGAGAAATTATTCTATGTCTAGGATGATCTAGTATGCTATGCCTATGTTGCCCGACAAGGTTTACTGAAGTGTTCCAAGAGTATCTCTAACACGGAACCTGATAAACTATTGCTACGACAATACTACTCAGCGTTAACTGTAGCCCTGGTTTGTCAAAATGTTGCTATAACAAAACTCCCCAGCGTAAATAGTAGTGCTAGCCTATCTACTTTAGCATTTATCCCTCTTAGTCGAATGAAACCCTCTCCTTATCTCTAAGGTAGATTAGAACCTCCCTATCCCGAATCAGTTCCCTTGTTCATGTAGATCTAACCTAACTCTTTCGAATATTAGGTATCAACTCTTAGAAAAATGACAATCTTTCAAAAACTCTTACAAAGACTAGGAATGTTTTGCCAAGGCACCATACAATCTTTCGAAAGCTCTTACAGTGTCAAGGCAAAAGATTAAAATAGTGAACAAAACAACATTTAACAAACACATACTTAATCAGTCATTAACAGAAAAATAAAGTATCATCCAACCATTTCCAACACCAAATAAAACAATTTATGGTGTGGTTAATATCATCCAAAAAATATTCAAAAATACAAGCCCTTAAAAGATAAGAAATAAAGAACAATAGGAAGAAAAACTCCCATAATAGAGCTCTTCTGTTAAATCAGACCACCACCAAAACTAATCTTGTGCATTAGCCTCTCTCGAGGGCTTGGCAGCTGCTCCAGCGAAGCCTAGCTATGGAGGGAACCAAGGGTGGGAAAGAGTGGAACGGTGGAAAGGGAAAAAGTTGCAGTCGTCTTTCTCCAAGCCTTAGTGGTAGGGTATATGTCTCTTTCTTTTAGAGGGTATAATGTGATATTTATAGTGGGAATTTTTAGGGTTTAGTACCCTTGGAATTTTCTTAAATACCCTTAAATTTTACACCTATTGTGTGAATAAAATGGCAGCTGGTAATGGTCCCAAATTCTTAACACGGGCAGGGGTTCATGTGAGGTGCATTGGACAGTTGGCCACGCGACGTATGTAATTTTATGTTGTACTGCGTCAGACTTGCGAGATAAAACTCACCGCGGAAGAAATTATTCCTCACGGTCATCGTCTTCAGTTCATTTGGCCCTGGCACATAATTTTGTCTTGCCAAATAAATTATTTCTCTATTATTTTCTATTACCTGCATCATCACAGCCGACACACAACCTTTCTCATTAGCAATATCGATTTAATCAAATAAAACTTTGTAGTGGAAAAACTTATCAACCACATACAGAAATGTCCTAAATGCAACTAAGATGCTATGTCAATGGATTTTAGACAATCAATAACTTAAGTAAAAAGACCTAAAATATAGTCTTTTTACGAAGTTATCACACCCCAAACTTAAGCTATTGCTTATCCTTAAGCAATGGATAATGAGAAATAGAAAAATAAAGTGTCAAAGCAAAGTATAAATTAGGACAATCAAGTGGTTTAAAATTTCATCCCTCAACAACAAGTTTGGCCTCAACATGCTAGACTGAACGAGAAGTCAAGTACCTTT